TTGCCTTAACCCCCCCCCCCCCCCCGAAAAAAATTCTGGCGCCACAGGTAGAAGGCACACTGTGTAAAGACACAAAGTCACACACACAAGTCGAAGGGTAGCACATACATAGGCATACAAAGCGACAACCGGTTGGACATTAACCATTAATGAAATCATATAGTCGCCCCATCGCAATACACTACTAGTCCGGGGACCTGCCCGTATCATCCCGTTTTTCATTAGAAGCACAGGACCACCACAAGTCAGACGTAAGTGACCAGAATATTTACAAGTAGACAGAGTAAAATATACAGTTAAGTCTTAACAATAAAGATGAATTAAAGAGCATATTAAATAGGTTGTAGTGAATGCTGCATTTAGGTATAAGCTATAATGCCCAACTGAAACCGAAAGACAACTCGAAGGGTAGCACATACATATACACTATTTTCTGACGTTGTAATGTTTCTCCACAAGCAGTTGCTCATGGAGACGAGATGGGTTATTTGGAAAAGTGTTCGTTTGCGATCTCTGTAGGCGCCCTTTTAGCCTACACTGCATTGTGGTGTATTTTATTTATTTTTTTTACGACAGTCAGTACAGCGAATGATATTGCGCTGACGTGTGACAGAAGTAAATCTGTGCCCGGTCTCAGAGTATTATGGCTGCGGCTAGAAATAACATATGTACCTATGCAAGCCACTGCCTATATAGAGGCTGCAACCCAATCATATTAACCGTTTGGTGCTGCTAGCCATAGCCAAGCATTTTGAGACGCAACTGACATCGCATCGAACTGAAGTTGAAGGTCACCAACCTGTGACATTGTTCATGTCGTGAGCAGTGCTTATGTGAGACTGTGCGTGATCAGGCTCATAGGCCCACTGTGAACGGCTTGTTCCAGGAAGTCATGGAAGTGGATTGCTGACTAATTCTCTTTGCAACGAACGAAATCTTAGTGAAATAAATTCCTCGCAGCACAACCACCATCTAATGTCTGTAAGCTGACAAACATAGAGGCTCAATAAGCGTAGAGTGGTGAGTGGAATTACAAAATTTAAGACACTCTCTGTGACGGTAGACATGTTGCTTTGTGGTAATGTTATTTCACCAAATGTAGAGGACATGCAGGGTGTGGGTTGGCATGGTCATGAGGGTAGGGGAATGGGACGTGTCAGCTGAGCCTCATTCGACTTTCAGCCGTGTGGAAAAATAACGGTGTAAATTGTATCAACCAAGTTGGTGCATCTTCAGCTAATAATAACTGTATTAATTGACATCAGTGGCGGATCCTGCGGGGGGCACCAAAATCCTAAGGAAACAATACCAGCAAATTAAAGCTAAGATGTCGGGACCACGAGTATGGCTTTGGAATTTTTTTCACCCCCACATTATGTTGAATGAGCCTGAAGCCGCATTCGCTTTTGAATGTGCCCCCCGCATCAAAGGCTGGGTACACTGCTGATCGACATACTCGACTAATCTGAATATTGAAATTAATGCATGACCATCAAAGGAGAGAATTTGAAAGCAAGACTCTCTTCATCCCACCGTCACTTTATCTATGGTATCAAACAACAGCACTTTTTTGTTCATTTCATTTTTAACCAAGACTTTCAAGTGTTTAAAAATGACGATAAAAGGGAAAAACAGTACAAACATTCCGTTTTCTTACAATGTAAGTGTAGGCACAAGCAGGGTAAATCTGTTTGATGCCTATTCCCTTGCTAATTATAGGACGCCACCCTACCCCAGATACAAGGATACACACAATCCCCTCCCACACTGGCTTCCGTGAGTTTACATCACAGCTTTGGTTAGGACCATGTTAGCTGTAGGCATTTTGCTACAATGATGTACTTGTCATCAGAGAATGCACGGCTTATCTGCCTGCATACCGTCTTCTCATCACATCTGGTAGTACCCAGCCCCCGTGGCTTCATCTTCAAAATTAGACGGGATTGCGTTGAATTAACCTACAGGAAATTAAAGTGAATAAGACTGTAAAACGAGGAAGGTCCTGTAGTGATTTTGGATTTTGGAGCATATTTTTAGCCATCGTTTCAGTACACAACTTCTTCGTATTTCTAGGAGATCTAACACGATGAATTAGGCCATAGTCATCAACTTCTTTCTCGCTTATGGTGAATTCTGTTTGTTTTTATTTAATTCCAAACTTTATATGACTATTTTTCTTTGAACCAGAAAATGGCCACAGGGTCAGCAGTGAGTTCAGCTCTAGAGACAATCAGTAGGCATCATCTCGAATGCCCCATTTGCAGCGACAGATTCCAACGACCCAAGATACTGGACTGTCTGCATAGTTTCTGTGAGCAATGTCTGCTGACATACTGCAGCACGAAGCATCAGGGCTGTACAGAGATTCCTTGCCCCGTGTGTCGACAAGAGTCACAACTTCCGGAGGCGGGGGTTACAGGCCTGAAAACCAACTTTTATCTGATCGGTCTGGTTGAGGAGATTGAACTGCAAGAAAAGTTGTTGTGTTCGGGTGAGACGAAGCTGCTCTGTGAGACATGTGATGATGGCAATGAGGCAACGCATCGCTGTCTAGACTGTGAACGTTACATGTGTACAACTTGCAAAAAGAACCATCCTCGAATTCCTGCCTTATCAAACCACACTATAGCAACACTGGACGAGATTCGTGCAGGAAAGGCAGCTCTGTCAAGAAAACATTCATATCAACATCGGAAGTGTCCCAACCACGAGGGTGAAGTAATGCGGTTCTTTTGCACGACATGTGAAAAGCCGATCTGTCGAGATTGTACTGTCATAGACCATCGCCAACCAGAACACACGTATATCGATAAAAAACAGGCGGCATCGACGTACAAGCAGTCATTAGCTGACTTGTTTCGTCCCGTTGAAGAAATTCTGAACAATTTTCACACATGTCTCAAGACGGTCTCAATGATGAAAAATGACTTCCATATTACAGTGAAGACAGCCATTGCAGGAGTGCAGGACAAGGCAGGTGAGATAAGAGCAGAGGTCACGGCTCAAGAAAATCGCATCATTGACGACATCCAAAACATCCAAAGCGATCGTCTTC